CACACACACACACACACACACACACACACACACACACACACACACAGAGAGAGAGAGAGAGAGCTCTGTTTTCTGATTAGATGCCTGTTAGCACTGTGTCTCAGTGACTCCTTAAATTGTTTAATTTTTTTACAAGTTTGCAAACATATTTCCATAAAGATCACATTTCTGTTAGAATTTCTGTTTTCTTTCTCGTATTGTTTGTTGTGAAACTAATTCTTGCATTTCAGTTTGTTTTATGCTGTTCAAATGAGCTCCTCTTAGTTTATTTCCTGGTTTTTCTCTTCTCAGGCCAGCTGATTTCTGATGACGTCGCTGAGATTTTCGCTCGTCCCAGTACAGATTTCATTGTGCAGTTACAAAACACGTTCTCAACCAAATCAGCCAGTGCCCAGTATGATGACAGTTACCTCGGTAATCCRTCACACACACTTTTGAAGCTACATTTTTTAATCTTAACATCTGAGAATTCTGTGGGCGTTTTCGATAATAAAACTATTTAAACTTAAATATTCATGCAAATGAGGGGAGCTTCAGAAAGAACCAGATGTGAACTTAAAACCCGTGAAAATAAACCAGTAAATTTTTAGTCTCAGATTGTTTTATGATGGCTAAAATATGTTCTTTATCAACCTGTAAACATGTCTGATGTGATGATTTTAGCATTTCTGCTCGATGTTTAGCAGCAGACATGTTTTATACATGACTCTGTTTTAAACAGGATACTCTGTGACAATTGGAGACTTTAACAGTGATGGAAAGGAAGGTAAGACCTAATCCTTTTTATTTATTTTATTTTTTTGTTTTGTTTTGTTTTTGGTAAGACCTAAACCTGACAATTATATTTTCTGTTAAACTGGTGCTCCTCAAGCTTTATGTTCATTATCTGCCTGTCTTCTCTGATTTGAATAGATTATGTGACAGGAGTGCCCCGAGGTGAAAAGGCACTAGGTTATGTAAGTGTTAAAATTCTTGTTTGAGAAAAGCTTTACATGTAATTGTTGGTAATATTTAATTCCCACAGCTCTGCACTGATGTTTATTCTCTCTGGATGTTTGTCACCTGGTCCCTATGTCCAAATATTCTGTGTTCCTCTGAGCGTGATGATGTTTCACCTCAGTGAATTATATGAACTGAACATAAACATTTCCCCAGAGGAAGTGGCGATACTGTCTAGAACCAATCTTGTGCAAGCTGTTTGATYTCCACAAGCTTTTTTCTCAATTTTACTCTGCCTCAACTTAAAAAAAAAATAAAAAATAAAAAAAGCATAAACTATAAGTCAAGGTTGAAGACGTTCCTTGTTGTGTTCCCAGGTGAACATCTTTAATGGCCAAAACATGGCATCCATGATCAACTTCACCGGCTCTCAGGTGAGCTTCAAGGCTGTGGATGTGTCTCAAGTTCTCACAGTTACTTTATTAATAAAAACAACCAGGGCCAATTTTGATGTGTTGAGAAGATTTATTTGAATATCATCACCTTCCTAAAACAATCGCCTACATCATTTTTTGGCAAAATCTTTTTTTGTTTTCCTAAATCTGATAAAGCTGATCAAATCATTTCACTCTACCCCTTAAGATGATGTTCTATATGTTGTGTGACTGAAGCTGAGCAGTAGCTCAGTAGTAGTTTTTTGAAAAAATGACTTAGAGGATTATTTAAGGAAGGTATAAAATTCTACATGTTTTATGTGTATCTGCGTGTATTCGACAGATCTTGTGTGATTCAGGCAACACCATGTGGAAGGAATGTGCTGTCAGTCCTCTGATAACCAGAGGATGCTTTGCACAAGATATAATTTTTTCACAAATATTTTACACATTAAAATATACTGACATAAACTGTGAGCTCAGCTGTAAGGTGACACAGAAACAGAAAATGTGTTGCTTTGTTTCAGAGCTGCTTATCTTTCTGCTGAATAAAGTGTTAAATCAGAGGGAGGAGGGGAGGGGGTGGGGGTGGACCAGAGGTTGTCATCAGCTGAGTTAATGACAGAGATTCTCTTCACTATCCTGCCCATCCTGAATAACTTTCCATCTGAACTCAACAACCTCTTTTTATCAGGTTCTTTTACTTTGAAGGTCTTGTTTACATCAGTGCCTCCTTCCTTCCTACGTTTTATCTCCAAACTCTCACCTGCTTCCTTTGGGCTCTCTGTCAGCAGCTGTTAAATTGGCCTCTGACACTTTTTACAACCAGCGATGTTTGGAGCTACCTGGAGAATGGAAAGTTTGTTGCAGTTAACAGTTTGTGCCACTAGAGGTCACCACATCTCATCTGTTGTCCTCCTCTGTCTGCTGCAGATGGCTGCCTACTTTGGACATTCAGTTGCTGCCTCTGATGTTAATAATGATGGGTAAGAGTTTGTTTTTCCTGTCTGAAACCTCTGACCTCTGTGGACCTCTGTTAAAGAACAGAGATCCACTAACAGCTGTTGTTTCCTGGCTGCTGAATTTAAAGAGGTTATTACAGAGTCTGTAAAAACCTCTTCGTTGGGACACGTTTGATTGAAACGTGTCTGTCACAGTGGTTACAGTGTGAGATAATGTTAAGCATAGTGTTTTTAGAGAAAATGTTGTTGTTTCAGGTTAAAATGTTGCCTGAATAAGACAAAGCAAAACAGGCCCAGCAAGAAACTGACACAAATGTTGAATTTTATTTATTTATTTACCGTTATTTAACCAGGCAAGTCCCATTGAAATCTCAGATCTTTTTTTCAAGGGAGGACTGGGCCTGAAGGCAACCTATTGAACATGTTTTTGTGTTGTGGGGGAAACCGGAGTACCAGGAGAAAACCCACGCAAGCACAAAGAGAACATGCAAACTTCACACAGAAAGATCCCCAGGTCCGAACCAGGGATTGAACCCAGGACCTTCTCGCTGTGAGGCGTCGGTGCTAACCACTGAGCCATCGTGCCGCTGTCGTTGGGTCCAGGAAGTTAGGAAGTACCAAAAATTGTCACACTGATCAGAAGAATGTGAAGAAAGGAGCTTTGACTTCCTGTCAAATGCAGACTGAAAATAAATATTCAGTGTTGCATTGTGGTATTTTCTTTACTTTGTGCCACTTCAGCACCGGCTGGAGAAGACGGCATTATAAGATTCTTCAGTTTTATGTTAAAGTATGATTAAACTATGGTTACTTTCTTTTCATCACAACACTGTTTTTACTTTTGATTTTTAAATAATATTTAAACAATTTTTTAGTGAGTTAAACAGTCTTAAAGTCTGTTTCTATTGCCTTGATGATGCAAGTTAACAGGTGCCGAGAAATCAAAGTGAATCTTTTTATAAGGGACGACAAGAATTGTGTGGGACCATTAGGGAAAAAAATAAGATGGGTATTAATATAAGAGATTTGACATTGTGTGTTTCAGTTTGATGGATCTGTTGGTCGGAGCTCCTCTCTTTATGGACCGAGGCTCAGATGGGAAACTGAGGGAGGTGGGACAGGTAGGAAGCACACAGCTGCTTTACAAGACGTGAAGATGATTAATGGTTTAATCTGACTGTGCGTGAAGGAAACATTTGTGACTGATTTAACTGAATCTTAGAAAGAGCCTTCTGTCATAATTTGTGATTGGTTGTAGTCATTTACTTTAAACTGGAGGAGAATCAACAAGTCTCTATTTAATACATGTCTCTCTCATGCAGGATGAACATAAAATTGTTTATTTTCTAATGTTGACGTAATAGGAACCACCCCTAGGGATAAGACCAGGTTTTCTAACAAATATTATGTTTTTGGAAGGACATGGAAACAGAAGCTCAGGACTTTTTTAATTAGACTCAGAGCCACACACTCACACTCTGAGAGGGTGAAGTGGAGTCTTTAGAAATGAAAATAAACATTTAACTGAGAACTGGATTTGGTTGTCTGCCTGACATCCAATTTTGAACATTTTCTAACACTTTTATTTTGAAAGTGTTCATGTAGCAGATCATCATCAGAGTAGCTGTAAGGAATGCGAACTGAAGCACTAAATGTCATGAAGCCATCTTTTCCACTCTAGTTACGAAAGGGAGAAGAAAAACTGCCTGAACATTTACTGTACTGTATCATGCTAAGTCATCAAGTCTTCCTTTGTGTTGCTGTTACTCCAGCAAAGGTACACAATAAAACTTCTGCAGTGGCCTGAACTTATATAGTACCTTATCAAGTCCCTTTGGACTCCAAAGTGCTTTACACAGTCATTCACCCATTCACACACACATTCACCCATTCWTACACACATCCATTCACACACACATTCACACACACATTCACCCATTCATACACACATTCCCACAAAAATATGTTGTTTGTTTCCTCTCTGTCTCACACAACATAAAACTACATCATTAGAATATGRATTATCCTGTCAGACGTTATTCCAGCAACAACGTGGGAAATGGTGAAGACAAGAGTTCAGTAAATATTCCCACATTATTAAAAATTGAATTTATCCTTTCAGTGTAAATGTAGATGTAAATGCTCTCCTTGTTGGAAAAGTCTGGATTGTGAAACATGCAACAGAAAACAGTTCTGTGATCATTTTTTACAACAGTGCTGAGCAGAACTGTATCATTATGTCCTATTATTTGGCTTTTAACAACAACAACATCAACAATACACAGGAATTACACACAGCTCCTTCCTCTCCATCAGTGGTGGAATAGAAACCAGAACTGACCTTTAAACTGCTTTAAAATGAAACAGATACTAATGACATCAGAAGCCTTTTAATGATCTCTAGCGCTGCATGCTGGGGGGTCTTTTAATTTGTAACTTTCTCAAATTTGTGTTGTGTTTGTGTGTGTGTGTGTGTGTGTGTGTGTGTGTGTGTGTGTGTGTGTGTGTGTGTGTGTGTGTGGTCTCCAGGTATCCGTGTACCTCAGTCGAGGAGGATTTACCTTTCAGCTGCCTCAGACACTGACCGGGTCAGAGGTTTATGCCAGATACGGTTCTGGTATCGCTGCACTGGGGGATCTGAACAAGGACGGATACAATGGTATTCCTGATCACTCACCTGCATGTTTGATCTGTCTGTGTGAGGAGACCCTAGTTGTTCAGCTTCACTGAAACTGATTTCACATCACCAGAGCCGTAATCCAAACTGGTGTGGTTTAGACTCATTCATTCACAAATGTACACACATGAAGCAGTCAGACTTTTCAGACTTTTCCTTCATATTTCCTATTTCTGTCTGCCCCTTTCCCACCCCCGCTCCAACAGATGTGGCCATCTCTGCCCCGTACGGAGGCCCAGACCACAACGGCTTGGTGTACATCCATAATGGCCGCCCTCAGGGTCCAGACGCATCCCCTTCTCAGGTAAACATTAGATTTCACTTTGGACATAACAATCGTGGGAAAAATAAAGTCCACTCTCTTTCAATCCTACAGTTTTACTTAACATGAGAGGAGGTTCTTGTTCAACGTTAACCCTTCATTGTACTCATGTGATTATTTATTCAACAAAAACTAAGTTCACTCTTACTGCTTCTGTAGGATTTAAGATCAAAAACCTCAAATCAAACACATTGATTGATCATCACCTCTGTAAAACAAGAGTTTAGTCACTTTGTTGCTCTGGAGCACAGGTGTGTGGTTTTTATTTACCATTATTTATGTGTGTTAACTTAAACCTTGACATTCCTCAACAACAACAAACTGATTGATTAGTTGATTTTACCCACAGATTTTGACTGAACGTAGATATTTTGTGTGTGATAATATAGAAAGTGAGCTTTTTGTTGTCCATTWTCACTTTTGATACCAGGATAAAACGTAGTAATCAGGGGTCGGATTTACAGTGGTTTGCAAAAGTATTCATACCCCTTGAACTTTTCCATATTTTGTCACATTACAACCACAAACATAAATATATTTCACTGGAAT